TGTCTCTACTGCAATCTGTAATGGAAACAGGGTTGAAATTTTCATGGGCACACCAGTGTTCAGTGAGGAAGCATTATGCGAATCAACAATTTTATCACAAGGTACCACCTGTCTGGGCAACACCCAGTTGGGTAGTTGTTTTTTAACAATTAGAATTTGACCTGTTTCCAGCTTTTTTAAAGACTTCTTTAAATTCTCAGCATGAATTTAAAATAGTTTCTTCAAAATCTCTGTTTTTGCAGTGTTAGTTCCACAGTTGCAGTCTCCAGGCTCCCAAGGCGATCTGTTTTATTCCAAGGTCACTGGGTGAAAAGGGTATTTTTCACAATTCCATTACACTGGTTTTCATGATTCTGGTTCACAGGCAAAAAACTGCTGTGAGCCACTGCACTGTGGTGATGTCAGACTCAATGAGGAGCTCTGGTGTTTGAGGCAGGGAGCAAACATGTTCCAAATAATCCACAGGAACTGGGAGACAAATCACGCCGCCTTTACTTTCACAAAACCCTCACTGACTTCAGTGGGAGTTTTGCCAAAATAAGGTCTGCTGGATTTAGCTCCGTATTCTTCCTCCTGACAGAACAAGCAGAAATTAAAGGGCCAGAATCAGGTTTATAAGACACAGAGAATAAAAAAGAACTCTAATGATCTTTTATCTCAAATAATGACTTTCATCCAACACAAATCAATGTTCCATTAGACACAGTCTAATTTATAACAAAAATGTTTGTAGAAGTTCTTCTCAGCACAAAAAATCAAAATACACAGTCGTTAGCAATACAGTTTGATTTTCTTAGACATCTAGGAGAGGCTGTCTTGCACAAATCTAGCGCTGGAGTATTTATACTTTTATCATTAAAATACAACATTATGCATTACCTTGTCTTTAAAGGTATTTATTATTTTTTTAAAGTATATTTTAACCTTTTTTTTGCATTTCCATTCCTCATAGTTTTGAAAAAAAGTATGTTTTTGCAAATCAGGATACAGCCAACCAGCATTTGCTGAATGCCAACAACTAGAATTCTTTTCCTGCAAATGGATCCAGACAAGCCAACATCCATTACACTGTTCCAGTTCAGTCTGTCATTACAGAATAACATGTCATTTTTTAAGCTTCTACATTTTATTGCAACTGCTCAAGTTTTAAAACCACTCATTCAATAAGCACTTAATTAGGTCTACTCTTGAAATAGGATAAAGCCAAATCCTGCACATTTTGCTAATACCAGAAAAAATGCAATTGATAGGAGTATGGAAAATGGCATCTTACCAGTTTTCAAAGATAAATTCCTTTTAGTCCCCCCACTTCTTTTCCCTGGAATGGAACAGAAAATGTGCCTGGCACTTAGGGAGCAACAACAACAAAACCATAAAGGCATACATCATGTACAAATAATAACCATGTAAGGGAAGTAATGAAGGAATTAAGCTCACAGCTTATTGTTTATGAAGTTTACAAGTGGTTCATACTGAAAAAAACCCCACAAAATTATTAGGCTTTTCTGCAATTAAAATGTACAGGGGTTTAATGCTTTTTTTCTTTACTGGATTTCTGTTTTTTAAGGAGCAGTTGAAACTCTAAGGTTATAAAACATTAATAATTCAGCAGTTTACTTGGTTTACACTATTACAGCATTTTCTGGTGAGTATACTAGTGTTTAGGTATTTTTTGCAGTTATCACAGAGCCATTAGTGAAGAATCACCAAAAGAAAAAGGGTTGATTAATTTGGGATTCTAAAAATTGAAAATTCAAAAATTAAAAAGCACATGAAAGTGACACCTTTCGCTTATCAACTGCTATTTCAGTGCTCCAAGACTGCATTCTGTGGACTGCAGCATTCACAAGCTTTTAACTGTTTTAAGGATTTCGAATACATTGTACCCATCTCCCCTAGTCCATGCTTTAAAGGTTCTGTGGTTTTTAGCATATTAAAAAGAAAACAGAACTGTATCAGAACAGTGGTAGTCACCCACAGACAACCTGTTCCACTAATATTTTACATTTGTGTTGCATCTTTTGTCCTAAAGGGTTTCTGTAGTTTATTTTATGTAGGCTGATTAGACTGCTCAGGTATCTGCACGAGTGAGCTTGGAAACAGTGAGAGATCTAGTTAATGTTCAGAGAACAGTAACGAAAATTGGGCATTTCATATTTAATCAGCAACAACAACATCATCTCAAAATTATATCTCCTTATAAAAATATCTCCCACAGCTAATAACTAGAAAGTCTAAATTCTTCTAACAAACAGGTGGAGTGTGGCATACTTCACAGTGGGTTGTTACCGTTGTGCTTACTCTTCCTTTTGTATTTTTTATTTACCACACTGTACTTCAACCA